GGTCCTCTATAACGTGAACGCCTCAGTTCGTTGAGTTTGCTACCTAATCTAAGATTAAATTAAAGATAAAAGTGAATTTAGTAAATTGGTTTTGGGCAAGATCCGTCTTGCTGTCCATCCTTGTGAATGTAAGCCCTCTTTTTCACTATTGAAGCTAAAGAATTTATATTTCGTATATGTACTCGTGTATAAACTAATCTGATACTGTTAAGACTTTGGCGAAACATCCATGCATTTCTATGAATGAGTATTCTGCAGTCGGTTACTCTCGACGGCAACATTTTTACTCGCATTGAACTCCCCAGTACGGAATATATTTCTTTTAATCCAGCCCTAGTTCCCATTAGAGAAACGATCTGGCTAAGAGGAAAGACAGACAGTACAGGATTTAGGTTATATATGTACATTGATTTAGGCTATATATCAACATTGATCTATCGAATCGCATTGAATCCAAGTGCACCATTCCAATTCACTCAATCAAGTTTCTTTATTGCTAGTTCTCATTCATTTCCATATTCAGTAGGTTGAGAGACTACAGTCCGTAAGGACATATATTTTTTTTTATATAAATTTTTACTCGGAAACTATTTCTCTAAAATAATTTTTATTTTGAATTTCTGAAAGTCTCTTCGAAAACGAAAAGACAATTTACCATTCAGTTTTTGTTTTTATAAGTCTTTCCGAATTGGAGCTCAACCTCTAATAACTAATGGTAAATAGGTCAAGAAATCAAGAAGTGCTTCATTGTAAACTGTTCAATCGGCATTCAATATTAACCAAATGGTTTTATTTTTCAGATTTTCTCTCTAGTTTCCAATTGAGCATCTGGACTATCAGCCGATTACTTGAAATCAAGGTAATTAACGTGGCCTTCAGGTTTTGAACTTAACCTAAAGAGTTTCTTCTTACATTAATTCGAACTGATTTCTTTATTTGATAACCAAGTACAATGGAGGAATTCACTGAGGGACCAAACAGATATGTTAGGAATGTGCTGGTTTTGAAGAAGGATACGTGCTCGGTGCGCGAGCTAATCATCTGGGTCAACAAGCAATTGCAATGCGAGATTAAAGAGCTGTCCGAATTGACAGCAGGCGATATTTATTGCCAAATTATGCACAAAGTAGCTCCGAAGGCAATGCCGATGGACAGAGTTTTCTTGTATACCAATGTCAGTCACGAGATCGAATCGAACTATAACATGTTTCGTAATGCACTTGAAAAACTGAATATTCATAAGAATATTTATCATCGCGACCTGGCCAAGGGAATCGGCCACTATGAGTTCGTGACCTGGCTACACAAGTTCCACAGGGTGAACTGCAAGAGTGATTCGTACGATGCGGTGGCTGAGCGCAAAGGCCAGCCGATTGGATTGAAGAAAATTGTAAGTACGAAGCCCACAGTCGATTACACAGCCTATCTGCGACGTAGCACTACCATTGTGTCTCAAAATGGCGGCAAGGGGGAGGTGGCTCATCGTTCGAACAGCCTAGTTGGCATGGCCGACAAGAACAGTGACGGAACTGAAGACAATGCTGATCCGGATCAGCTTAAGGCCAAGCCCAATAAAAAACCTATCCAGAAGAGAAGTGCCTCCAGGCCAGCCGTGAGCAAACCAGCCGTACCAGGTGGGGCCAAGCCGTCAGGAAAGCCAAAATTGGAGAGGTCCCTTACCGTGATGCATCCCAAGCCGTGGCAACAGGCTGGCAAAGCCACTCAACAGAGCAAGGAAACGGCTCAAGCTAAATCGGATCAAGTTCGAGCAAATCCGAAGCCGCCAACTCGCGCGAATACAGCTTTGGCAGATGTGTCCAAGCCAAATTCAGCAGGTGGGTCCAAGCCAGCTTCACCAGGCGGTAAACGATTGGAGAGGTCCCTTACCGTTATTCATCCGAAGCCGTGGCAACAGGCTGGCAAAGCCACTCAACAGAAGGAATTGTCTCAATTGAAAATGGACCAAGCTCTACCGCAGCCAAAGCAAAGTCGTACTCTTCTATCACAAAAGAAATGGGAGCCAGCTCAAAAGAAATCGGAAACAATACTAAAGAAAATGGGAACCGTGCAAAAGAAAATGAAATCTGGTCAGAACGATTCGCAACCCAATGAACCAAAGTCGGAGCTAGCTGAGTCGGAGCCAGCTGAGTCGGAGCGAGCTGAGTCGGAGCCAGCTGAGCAGGAGCCAGCTGAGGCGGTGCCAGCTGAGGCAGAGCCAGCTAAGGCGGAGTCACCTGAGGCAGAGCCAGCTGAGCCGGAATCGAAATTGCCTAAAACTGAGCAGGAAACAGCTAAAGGGAACCCGGAATCACCCGTTCAAGTCGAACCGGAACCAATTGATGTAAAAGGAGACAAATTCAAAATCCAGCTGCCGTCACTTCAGTTGAGGCGGGAGCCAACTCTATTGAGAATGGAACCAGTTAAGGGAACTCCCGATCCACTTGGTATGACCCCAGCAAAACGTATTTATTTTAAACGCATTCAGCGCAAGGAGAATGCATCGCCGGCTGCTAGCACTAGGAAACCAACCCAACGCCGCCTAAATTTTAAACGCAACATGGGCGCGGCTGAGGAATTGCTTTCTGAAAAGGTTCTAGCAGCTTGTGAACCCATTCGGCTACTAGGTAACGTGACTTCTTTGCAATCTCCAGAACATTCAAATCTTTCGTCTATAGTAGAGGCAGCTGGACCACCAGCTGAGCCATCAACATCACAAGCATCGACTCAACAGACTGAGTCAGACTCCTCGTCACTTCCACAAAATGTAATTAATACTTCTGAGCTTGTAGCAAATGAGCCAATCGCTCCGAATACTGAGTCCTCTGGTATGCCACCAGATGGTCCACAAGCTACCGCTTCTCTACCGCGCAAGCCATTTACTAATTTAAAGGCAACAGGTATGATTCAAGGTCAGAAGAAGAAGCATGCGCCACTCAAGGTGAGGTTTGGTTCAGTTGAGATACTGGCATACAGTGAAGATGCATCGGTATATGCTAATTATACTCCAAACGTGGCTATTGCCAAACAAGTCATACAATCATTCTCCGAACAGGGAGCGGCTCGCTCTTCGGCCCCATTAGCTCCTGAAGCGACCAAGAAACCAGCAGCAACTAAGCCTAAACCTATCAAGACTTCTTCGGTGGTTCCAAACCTTTTTTTACAGCATAATTTACCAAAATCGGGAGCGTTGCTGTCCTTGCCAGTTAATGAAGCTGCAGGAGGTAGGCTTGCTAAAAAACCAAAGATAGGCCACCCATTGGCCACCTCTTCACCGGTTATAACTGCTTTGGATGAATGCCGTCTTGCCGAGTTGCCACCGGATTCAGACTCCGACGATGATGATGATGATCGTGTTTGGAATACACGCCGCCAGATCGCTCTATTGAAGGACAAACTAACTACTGTTGAATGCATTCTAATGAAATATTGTGGTGAATCGCACATTGTGATGAAAAAGCTGAAGCGCTACTTCCGCAAACAAGAAGTAGATGAACCGTTCATTATGGGAACTTTTTAAAACAAAACCTTTTCGTTCGTAAATATTTTACTTTTAACTGTTCAATTTAAATTAAATGTTATCTTCAAAAGCACCAAGTGTGCCCAGATGTCTCATCTACATATTGTTTATATTTTATACCATTTTTAAAAATAACAAAAATTTTTACTTGTGTTACAATGGCCAAAGACGTTTACTCACGGCTGCTGCTCAGTGTGACCAGCTTACACATTTTCATAAATACTTAGCCCTAACTATGCTACATACAAAGCTTTTATTCTGTTAGGAACCAACGCTGAAATCGTGGGAAGCGTAATGAGATCCGCTCTAGGCAAAAAAGAAGCGTGCTAAGCATTAATCCAATTAGCATTAGCACAAATATGATATAGAGCTCATGGATTCCGAATATTCTATAGGTGGTCGTACGCACGTCTCGCAAATAGACTTCGTCCAGCTCCCAGCGCTCCCAGACTGCCAGCAGTCCCCCGGAGCGCATCCACATAATGTGCTCGTTGAAGGCGTCGATTAGAAATGAATGTTTCCTTAGGTACATCGTCATCTGCAAATATATCACATCCTGACTCATGATCTCGAACTGATGTATCCCCTGTTCCATTTGGGATTTGACACTCAACTGATTGTACAACAGAAAGGTCTCCAGCGTGGCGGCTACCACCTGCCTCTGGCCCCGCGGATTGTGAGCCAAGTAATACAGAGGATGCATTAGGGATCCGTCGCCGTCGGCCACATGGAATCGCATCTGCTGTATGGCGGGTATTTCAGCGAGCACATCACTGATTCCACTAGACAGCACAACTTCATAGTTGTGAGCCACAACCTCATCGAGGGACTGGGGCAGCCGGTTCAGCATACGGGTGCGTATCAAATGGTAAAGCATGCCCTGGTACATGGTGCGTATGAGCAACGTGTAGAGAATTAACATGATGCAGTGCACTCGCTTCGCGATCGAGCGCGGAAAAGCTGCCATGGGCATGCCCACGAAGACCAGGAGCACATTGAGCACAAGGCAGCCCTGATGCCTGAGCGGCAATAGTCGATCCATTGTCAGCTGCATCAGGAACGAAAGGGCGAAAACAACGCCAATCGCCAGCCAAATCGATGTCCGAAATGGAAAGAATAGAATGTCCAGCGAGGTCAGCTCGTAGCTGGTGCCCAAGACGCCAAAGCGGACGCTTGTCTGCAGATAGTTGTGTGTCGATGTCCCCAATGTGCTGCGCTCCACCGTCTGGCGGATGCCACCGACGCATAAATCCGCTTGGTTACTGTGCAGCTAGAATAACAAAGATAATTAGACTGGAAAGGAAGGCTAGCTAGCAATATGAAAATTCACCATCTGGAGCATGCGGTTGATCTGGAGTCCCGTTCCACTTGCGCTGTTCCACTGTTGCACTTGGATGCTTATATTGAATCTTTCAATAAACGTCAGCAAGAGACGACCTTCAATGCCGCCAGTAATGCGCACATCCGGTCCAGATCCGTCTAGCTAGAGGTACGGCGGTAAATGCAACAGCCCTGCGCGCAGTGGACATCCAAAGAAATTGTTCAGCTTGCGGGGAAAGAGCTGCGGATTTAGCATGTGGCTGCCGTTGTAGCGATTAATCAGCTTGGGCGTCGTATCTGCACAGCTCTCGGGCCCGAATGGCAGGTACGTGTAAAGCAGGATGTCGCCATTGGCGCGCTGCACCTGGACGTTGCAATTGATGAGCTGGTGGCGCCAGCAATGCTCGAAGATGCGATGCATCTCGCTCAGCAGCAGACGATCACGTGCTTGCAGAAAGATGTAATAGTACTCGTTGTAGTTGTACTCCTTGGAGTGGGCCTCCACCTCGATCTCCGCAAAGGCCGCATAGGAGTCCGTGAATATGATATTGTAGTGTCGGCGACCCGGAACAAATTTTCGCAGAATGCCCTGCTCCACAGTGACTATCTGGAGCGGGGCTATGCCCCAGTCTCGAAAGAGTACGGTCATCATCTCGGTGTAGAAGTTGCACGTATGATTGTTGCGGCAGCAGAGGGTCAGCACCAGCGACGGCGTCACGCTCATAATGTGAATGTGGACCACGTGCAGCAGGGCTCGCGCCACATACTCATTGATTTGGTTCATCTGCTGCCCGGACAAGTCCTGATACGACTGAAACAGCTGTGATATGTTCATTTCCGTGCCGATTCTGAAGCTCAACTGGCTCTAGCAATGGCGTTGAGCCCGCTGCTGAGGCAAAAAAGCTTTGACCAAAGTTTTGTTTGTCTTTTCTCATTAATTGAGCTGGTTTATGATTGATGAGCGCTGCATTGAAAAAGTTGCTGTTCAAATTGTTTATACTTGGTTTTTGTTTTGTTTTCCCTCCATTTTTCTTTTTTGTTTGTCTTTGTTCTGTACATTGCATTCAATTTAGTTCACTAAACAGTTAGTCTGCTCCTTCGAAAATTGCATTTGTAGTCCACGCGCAGTTAGCTTAACGCTCAAACGGTTTTAGTGCTGCCAAAACTTCAAAAATATAATCTAAAGTACTAATATTGAAAAAATACTGACAGCCAACAAAGTGACCGGATTTATTCAATTTATGCTATTTGTGATATTTGTTGATGAATATGGAGGTATGTGGAGGAAAGGAAACGGTAGTTTATCAACGCTTGGCTTAATTTAAGAAATTTCAGCACATTTAGTACATTTTGCATTCATTCAAGCCTCCTGCTTGGCATTTAGTTCAACTTGAGTGCTGCCAGATCGTGAAATTTAATTTAAATTTAATGAAAAAGGTAAACAAACTAATTATATAGAATTGTGTGCCTTAAAGCAAACGTCGCTCCATCTTTCGCTTGGTCAGCCGATGGCAAAGGAGTTCAGCGCAAAAAACCAATATGGAGAGAGCGTAGAGGGTACCCATCAGGCTGTATATACCGATTAGCTGGCGCAACTGTTCGTTCTGTCGGTGTTCTTGCTGATCGTCCTGCAGCTGGGACAGACTGCGCTGTTGCAGGGTACGGCGGCTGTATTTGGCGAAGGCGTCTCGGCGCCAGAAGTCAATGCAGCCACTGGCATCGAGGTTGCGCAACATGTCATTGAACAGTTCCTTGAAATACGTGTGCTTGGGCATATAGATGACCACCTGCTGCAGATTGATGTACTGGGAGAGAATGTGGTAGCTTCTCTGACGATTCGTTGCCGTCAAATGGGCAACGGCCGTGTCCAGGCCGGTGATGGCAAAATACCGACCATCGCCCATTTGATGCAGTGCATCCAGCACTACTTCATCGTAGGGCGATGGAATGCTAATATAACTTTCGTAATTGTGCGCCACCTGTGGCATCTCGCGTAGCATGCTTAAAATGTTCGAACTGCACATGCCACGGAAATTGCTAGCCAAGAGCTGCTCAAACGAATACGGCAGCGTCTCGAACAGCTGCAGGCGTATGAAATGGAATAGCAAGGATTGGTAGACCACACGCAACGGGATGCTACCATAGAGCCAGTGGGCATAGATGACACGCTGCAGCCAGGAGCGTGGCAGGCGCACCAACGTAACGCCCAGCAGCAGCTCCAGCACCTGCAGCCCAATGGGACGCCAGCGCCACATATAGATCAGGCCATGCAGAATCAGGGCCACCAGCAGCAACAGCCAAACGCAGCTCTGAAATGGAAAATACAGCAAGGTGAGTTGGCCAAACTGAAAGTGCTTGATGGCCACAGTGGCCACCAGCGGAGCATAATAGTGAGCCACGGGCGAGGTGAGCATGTTATTGCGGCCAGCTGTCTTCCGAAAGTTACCCACGCTCAGGTTGGCATGTCGCTCTATCAACTAAGACATAGAGAGGGAGATAAAGAAAGAGGAGAGAGTTAATGAAGCTAATTAGTAGCTAATCTTCCTACGCACCAGCTTTAGTGGACTCATCGGTTGACGCTCATCGCCCCAGTTCTTCTGGTAGGTGGCCACCGTCTCGAGCGTCACATTGTGCCAGATCAAACTGCAATTGAGATGTCGTGCCAGCTGCTTGATCAGCGTAGCCTCGAAGCCAATGGCGTCCATCTGCCCCGCCCGATCGTCCCATTGAAGTTCGACAAAGGGCGGCGCGTTCCAGACGACCACAGTGAGCGGACACTGATGCAGCTGGCGCAGCTTGTGCGGAAACATGGGCGCATGGATCATGCGCTGGCCATCGAAACGATTCACCAGCTGCGGCTGTGCGGATTGGCAACGTTGCGACGTATACGGATAATAGCTATAGATGAGCACCTCCATCTGGGCCGTCTGCACCATCACATTGCAGTGCAGCCAAAAGTTGTTCAGGCAATGGTCCAGGATTTGCTGCAGCTCCGCCGGAATCTGCGCATCGCGCGTCTGCAAAAAGATGAAGTAGTATTCGTGATCATCGCTATCCGCGTTATCCTCGTTGATCTGCGTGGAGCTGGAAGGGATTAAGATATACGTAAATATATAGATCCGATGGGCACTGCTTCTACAGTCTCTCACAGCAACGACTTATAGGAGTCCACCAGTAGCAGATTGCAATACTTGCGCCCCGGCACATGAGGCAAGTGATTCACATGTAGCATTTGCACGGAGACTGAGTTCCAAGTGCTGGCCAGATTGCCCACCACATTCCCGAACCACTTTTCCATCTTTGCATCACTGGTGGCCAGTGTTATTATCAGCGTCGCACTGAGCTGTGCGAACACATCCTGGATGACGTGCTTCAGTGCACGGACCACATATTGATTGACGTCCTCCGCTTGGACGCCAATCAGTTTGCTTTCCACGTAGCTGGCGTAGATCTTGCTCTCGTTCATATTCTGTCCAACTTGCTTTGGCGACAGCTCCAAGCGAACTACCCCAAAAGTCAGATAAAACGTCCATCACCTGACAGATAATATCAAAAAATCAACGTCTATGCGAGCCTAATTAAACACAAACATTTACCGTTACTAATTCTTATTACGCTCATCAAAACGTACATGCCATCTGGCCCTAGTTTCATTGTCGATGCTAATTAAAATTAATAAGCACGCATACTTATGTTTATATTTTCTTCATTATATGTGCTATCTGAGCAAACATAATTTCTTATGCACATGCATAGGTAAATATTGAAATTTAAATGATGCAGACAAGTGCTGTTAAATGCACAAATTTGGGGTGGCCACATTTCATTCAAGCCACAGTCAGTCAGTTTTCCAACAAAAATTCCACGAAATATTAGTGTCATAAATTTTATTTTCATAGTAATTGACTACTTTCAATGCACTTATATGTGGTTATTCTTGTATTATTAAAATATTTGCTGATTTGATTTTATTAGTTTTCATTTTGAAAAATGCAGCGCTGCCATGTGTATTAAAAGAGTATAGTTAAGCCATCTGGCAGCACTCGTAACGCAAATAGCCCTGCCAGACAGTCGAATAGCCACCCGCTCCACCGCCTGCAGACATAAAGAAAAACAGTGGTGAATAATTGTCCATTTATTTATCTTATCGCTGCATCTTGAAAATCTCGGACCAGGACTATTACTCAAGTCGATAGAAGAGAAAGCACGCCATTAGCACCTCTTTTGCAACATACACACATTGCAATACAACAATAACAACAATGCTAAAAATCGCAGCGGAGGGAATTGCGCCACGCCTGGCGGCCTGTTGTCTTATCAACAGCAGTGCCCAGAGTAGCTGTCAACGGATAGCGCCACAGGCGGCCAAAGCCACACAGAAATACCTCTCACAATCGCAGATGCACTTCAAAAAGCTGGTGATAAAAGATCATTACGAGTTTGATCAAAAGGTGAGCCACAGCAACCAACTGCCTCTATTTACATTTGTATACACTTGCACACACACACGCACGCATATGCACATACACAAGCATATGGATGCAAGTGTTGCTGTAGCATTATGCAATGCTCTATTTGACTGGTTGTTGCCTATTTGGCGTACGTGAGCGGTCCCGGCCGTAACCCATGACGCATGTTGGCTATTTGTGCGCGCCGTATACAATATGATACCCTGCAAACAAATTGCTGGCAATAGTGTTGACTCGTTGACACATCGTCCGCAAATGTACCAAAAATGGTACATTTTCACAAATTCGCTGAGCAGTTGCCACATCGCCGACAAATATCCCAAAATGGTATATTATTTATTAGGCGACAAAAGTATCACGTCTGAAAATTACTTAAATTTGGTATATTATGTATAGTCATGTTATACAGGGCATTTGCTAGTCGACTCTCGCACAGCAATTTGCTTGGCTTGTACGTATGCTCGTGTATGCAAATAAGGTAGAACCACTCGAATTGACTAGCCAAAATACATAAATGCATAAAATGTGAAAGGTTTGTTTTTGTTGTTGTTTTTTCCTTCTTTTTTTTTTAAATCTAAACTTTGTTTTCTTTTTATCTGTTCGCAGGTCATCAACAGCGACAATCCGGTGATAGTGAATTTCCATGCGGAATGGTGCGACCCATGCAAAATACTGACACCCAAAATGTTGGAGCTGTTGGAGAACTCGAATGAAATCGATTTGGCCATTATCGATGTAGAGGCCAATTTGGATTTGGTGGAAACGTTCGAGGTGAAGGCCGTGCCAGCGGTTCTAGCCTTCCGCAACGGCGTCGTTGTGGACAAGTTCATTGGCCTGGTGGACGCCAACAGCATAGAGACGCTTATCGACAAACTGAAGCGCAAGCAGCAGCAGAAGAATCAGTAGAGCTCCAATTGCAGCAGCAGCAGCAGCAGCGGCATCATCTTTTTTAAGATATTATATTGTATTTGCGGCCTTATGAATTTAATTGGTGCACGGCACGGCACGTCGCGGCATGGCGGGGTTTACGGCAGGGCACACACACCATACTCCATACTCCATACACCATACACCACACTATATTAATTATGATAATGATGCGATTGATTGATGAATTGATAATGAGAACATGTCCAACGAAAACTTAGCCATTAAGCAATGCTCAATAAATCTTGTACAGTCAAAAGCAGCCAAAGCTTCTGTTAGCTATGGCCATGAAAACTTCAGTTTTTATATATACATACATATGTATGCATTCGATGGATATAGAATCATTGAAAGACTTGTAAATATACAATTACTAAAGATTGATTGTTAACAGCAGAACTGATTTACGACAAGATTTCGATAAGTTTCTAAACTCAGGATAGTTCGTTTCAAATCAACCCGTCTATATATTCTGTTCTGTATATATCTAAAATATTCTTAGCTCTGCTTTTCTATGAAACTTATGAAACTGAAAACAGTTTATAAGTTGGTACTAAATACAATCTAGATAGGCTTGAGGCTTCAGGCTTGAAGAACATATTTTGCGATTTCGAATGTGCCTATATATATCTTATATTTTGTAGATGTTAAATATATATAGATACCATATACAAAGAGACAAATTTTTGCCTTTTGAATATGCGATGAAAGTATCTGACAGATACTAAATAGCTATAAGGAATACCACCAATATTATTTATACAAACTGCAAGTCAATTATTAATAAAGAGCAGATAAGAGTCGAATCTGATTTGCAGGCCGCTCATACTGTATATGTATGTATATAGATAGATGTATTTGTATGGAAATATTGTATATATATTTTGTTGCACTTTTCATCTTTTGTCTTATTACAGTTAGAGTAACAAATTTTCTGTTTGCTTGTGTGTAACTTTAGCTGTGCCTTAGGCCACATCTAGCAGAAGTACGGGGAGAGGGAAAACATATTGAATACAATCTGTGTGTGTCGTTGTTGACTTTTGATACAGTAGCTATTACAATAAATGTATATATTAATATAGATCAAATGTAAAATTGACAAAAAGAAATACAAAATATTAAAAAAAAAAAAAGAAAACAAACAAACTTAAGCATTATCAACATGAAAAATTTTGGTTTTGCTTTGCTTTGCTTAACAATTTGCTAGGTTTGGGGAGTTGCGGGGTAGGTAGGTAAAGGGTTGGTAGAGGGGCATTAGAGGGATATATATTTATATATATATAATAATAATAATTATAATAATAATAATAATATTAACATGGCAAAGCTACAATGCTCGCTTTCGCTCCTCTTTCTCTCTCTCGCTCTCTCTCTCTCTCTCTCTCTCTCGCTCTCGCTCTCTCTCTCTCTCTCTCTCTCTCTCTGTCTCTGACTCTCGCACTCTGGCTCCTCTCTTGCATTTGCCATATCTTATAGTTGTGTAGGCGCTTGTGTATTTTTTATATATTTTTTTTTGGGTAGGCGTGGCCGTTAGCGCGCCAGCTGTATGATGAGTGCGGCGCACATCTCGAAGAACTCCATCGTATGGTGTCCAGTGGGCTGCACTGGCATCGTGCCACCCACACTCAATGGCGGCGGCGTCAGGCTCTCCATGATCACATCGTCGCCCTGTTCGACTTCGTCGTTGGTCAGTGATTTGAAGTCGAGCAGATAGCTCTTGGGGTCCACCTGGTAGAGCTGCAGCGACATCTTTGAATATTTGCCAGTCTTCACGTTCTGGCGCCGGACACGCACATGATACGGATTGATGATCTTCCACTCGTAGTTGAGGGCCTTCATGGCGCGATACACCTCGAGCATGATGTCGTTCGGCTTGCTCTGCGATCGTATGCCCAGATGCCATTTGGCGCGCTTGATCGGAGTGCCGCCGCGTGCTGTCTTCTCCGGGAAGGCGGCTCCGCCCGTATTCTGCACGGACATGGCCAGCTGGCGTTCACGCATCGGTGCAATGCGCTCGGGATGTGGCCGTATGGTGGGCGTAGCACTGCTACCCAGGCCGCTGGGCGTGGCTGTGCCAGAGCTGGCCGCCGTGCCGCCGCCGATGGTGACAGTGGCGCCTCCTCCCTGTGCGCCCGACTCCTGGGCACTCGAGCGCGGCTCGTGCGGCGAATGGGCTGTGGGCGGTGGCGGCGAGCCGGCCACAAAAAAATTGTTAATCTCACTTATCTGAGTGGCCGCATCGTCCGCAAAGCGCTTGTTGTCAATGATCAGATGGTAGGCGATGGCCAGCTGGTCGTGCGGATCGCCACTGAGCAGGGAGTTGTGCACCTCGGACTCCTTGACGCCGAACTTGGTGCAGACCTCGGCCACGGCATACGTGTCGATCACGTTCGAGTCCTGCTCAATGGACGAGGGGAAGAGATAGGCGGGCAGATCCTTCTGGAACCACTCGTGCTTCTTGATCTCCTCGATGGTGGCACGCTTCAGCGGATCCACCTGCAGCATCTGACACACTAGATTCACCACCTGCTTGTTCAGGTACTCCGGTATGGGAAAGATGCCCGATTTGATTTTGCGAAACAGCGACGGCACATGCTCGTCATCGAACGGCAGAGTGCCGCAGAGCAGCGCGTACAGGATGACACCGCATGACCAGATGTCCACCTCCGGACCGGCATACAGTTTACCCGAAATCACCTCGGGCGCCGCATAGTTGGGTGAGCCGCAAGACGTGCGCAAGAACTCGCCATCGAGCATCATGTTGGACAGGCCAAAGTCGGCGATCTTCACGTGCATATTGTGATCGAGCAGCAGATTCTCCGGCTTCAGATCTCGATGCACTATCATATGCCTGTGGCAGTAGTCCACGCCCGATATGATCTGCTGGAAGAAGCGGCGCGCCTGATGCTCCTGCAGCTTGCCATGCTTTACAATATAATCGAACAACTCTCCGCCGCTCACATATTCCATGATCATGAATATATCCGATGGTGTGGAGATGACCTGGATAAGTGGAGAGAGACAGAGAGAGAGAGAGAGATCAGATTGGATTCACTGGGAAAGTTGGGATTGTGAGACGAAGTATAAGCTTGGTACCAATCAGTTAGTCAAACAAGCAACCAATCAATGGGTTTATCAATCACTCAATCGTTAATTCAATCCTTTGCTTATACATCAGTAAGTCAAGCAGTCAATCAGTCGAGAGCTATACAGTGGATCATTTAATCAATCTCTGGCCACATCACCATCATTAAATTGACTAATCAATCAAGGCGTGGCTATCTGTCAATCACTCAATCATTCACTACTTACTTTGTCTTTGTATATACAGCAGTCAGTCAATCAGTTGAAAGTTGAGTCAATCAATCTATAAGCTCACTGTCAATCACCATCAATCGCTGACCATCACTGACCGTCAGGCCAATTGGCCAATCAATTAATGCAATCAGTCTATATACATATATATAATGTATATTTATTGAAATTGATTACAGACTCTAGACTGGAAAATTGAGCAAGCTGTCAAAGCAGCTGTCAGAGCTTCGATTCCATTCATGAATGAAAGATAATATGCTCTTTGTTTGGAACATTAATTTCGTAGATTTGTTTACTTCCAGCTAATTATTTTCAACAGCTTTTATATATCTGATAACATTTAATTTTCATTATAAAAATCGAGTCTAGCGGTTACAGTTTGCGAGTCGTTGACAATATGGTTGACAATATTTCTGCACACATTTCCTTACTCCTCTCTGCTTAGCGTTAAACGGTTACAGTTTTAGAAGCTATTGCTAATTACAGTTTTATGAGAATTGCTAATTCCCAGATCACAATTTTGAGACTATCTAAAATTTACAATTCTAGGGATATTTTGGCATTACAGTTAGAGAGTCAATGCTTCAGAGCAAAACAAAACAGTTTTCAATTGCCCCCGTTAAGGAGTCCACCTGACGTTACAGTTTTAGCGTAGCTGCAAGGAGTGGGTGGTATGCGATCGGGGTATATTACTCACCTGGTATAGCTTGATGATGTGCGGATGCCGGAAGAGTTTCAAGTTTTGGATTTCACGTTTGATTTTGGACACCACATCGAGGCTCTTGATCTTCTGACGATTGAGAATCTTGACGGCGACCTTGAGTCGTGTGATTTGATGTTCGCCAATCTTCACCTTGCCAAAGGTGCCGGTGCCGAGCGTCGCTCCCAGCAGATAGTGGCCAATCTTGACAAGCGGCTGGGCGCCGGAGTTGGAAGCAGCGGCCGCCTCAGCGGCAGCGGCTCTCGACTGTGGCATCTTGGGATGCAGCAGCAGCGGTGTTTATCGATGTGTGAGTGTGTCGTCGTCGTCGTCTTCGTCGTAATCGTTATCGTTATGATTTTCAATGCAATTGGATTGCAATAGTCCTCTTATGGTAAATTGGGATTCTATTCCGCTTGTCCCGCCGTTTTTCACAAAATGGGCAAGGTCGTCAGCGCACAGTTTTTTATTGCGTATTCTGTTTTCAGAAGCATTGGCAAAAATATGTAGTTGGCCCTCGTCTAACCGACGGACTGCGTTGCGTTGTCTCCTATTGAACGCACTCGCTGCGTCTGTATCAGCCTAGCACTCGCGCATATATAATATAGCCGTCGAAATCAAGTCACGTTTATAGTTTTGTGTTTGCTGATCCTGCTATTGTTTTTTTTCTCTTTCGTTGCGTTAGTTGCCTTCGTTAATTGCCTTTATTGGAATGTGTGCTGGTATTTTCCCCACGGTATTTTCCACTGGCTGCCAGTGTGCCCATATGCATGCAACGAATGAGTGGCAGCACTGACTGACCTGTTAGCAACAGATTACGTCTATGTTAATTAACATAACAGCGTGCAAAGTGCGCGCAATTTCAAAAGGAGATAACCAAATTTTACTATGAAATTAATCAAATAAAAATTTTTTTGTTTAGTTTGTTGCTTGAAACACATTTATTACACATACTTGTAGTAGGTTTCGTTTTGACACATGCAAAATAATACATACATCAAATCTTGTCATGTTTTCATTTGAATAGAAAACAAAGTTTTCCTTCCTTTTGTATAGGGACATCAATATTCGCTTGTAAATAAAGTGTATTGTATACAATTACATATTGCATATATGTATATATATATATATATATATATATATATATATATATATATATATATATATATATATATATATATAACCTGTAGAAAGTTCATCTTGTTCTATGCAGCCGCTGCTAATTACAAATTTTACCTATGCACTATATATATATTTATATATAGAGATATGAGGAAAAAAAATTTGCTTTGCTTATTATCCAAGTTCATATTACATACATTAATTACACTTAGAGAGGTACAAGCAATAAAGTACCTACAGCTTAGTTCTTTTTTAAACCCCATTTTCGACTGACTCTACCCGTATATATATATTTATATATAGCTAACTCTTTCTATGCATGCTTGCTGCTGTCTCGCTCATTTGTATGCGCTATGCGGACGCCATTTTGTTCTCTCTGTTCGCTCTGCTCGCTTCCATTTTGGTATAAAAAGTTCGTTTTATGTACAATAGTTGTTTTTAAGCCTTATTTCTAAATTTTTGTTGCTTACATCTTGTTTATTTTTTTTTCGTAGTTTTTTGTCAATTATTATTTATTTTTTATTAAAATTTAGTTTGGGATTTTAGAAAAAAAAAGGGTCTTAACTATTTTAATGCTATTAGACTAGTTTTTAAATTATTCAAAAAAAAAAAGTCAGTTTATATAAAATTTTGTTATATTACGCTTTACACTCTCTCATCCAATATAGGTTTGCTATAATTCTACTTATATATATATATATATATATATATATATATATATATATATATATATATATATATATATATATATATATATATATATATATATATATATATATATATATATATATATATAGATTTGCTGTCTGCTCACCATCTTAACAAATTCGTAAGTTCAAATTCATCGATCAGGATCAGCATTTGTTAAAAAATCCTTTTTTGTATATACATATATATAGATATAGACATTTTAATATATGTATATATAGTATTTGCGTTTTGTGTGTTTCGTACGTCAAAATAGATCAATATCTCTATATATAATAATATATATTGATGTATATACAATAATTTAAATACGTGCATACATAAATATATGTATATATATTTATATTTAACATTTTTACTCTAGTTTTTTTTGCATTCGAAATTGCATTTTTTATTTTTGTTGTTTTTCCATACAAATTTATAGCAATTGGTTTGCGTGTATGTGTGTGTTCCTATTCGTCTTTGTGTATGTGTGTGGGTGTGTGAGTGTGTTTGTTGTGGGGAGGGGGGGGCCTTCATAATTTTACAGCCAGGTGCGTACATTTGCTACAAAACAAAAATCGTTTTAGTTAGCTGAATTTCAACAAAATTATAAATTTTTAAATCAATTGCTAAACAATATCAAAATAAATGCGTGTAAGTATATGTTCGTGTGTAACTGTGTTTGTGTTTGCGTGTGTGTGTATGTGTATGTCTATACATCATTTTTTAAGCTCGTGTGTAAACGTATTTGCTTTGCATTCAGTTTATCTATCTTGTGTGTATTCTGCTCTTCTGGCTTCTTCTTCTGCTTCTTCTCGCTTCTTGCCAATTGCTATATTGAGTTCAGTTTCTTGATATACACACATTCCGATATATATATATATATAGTTCAATCTATATATATACACACACACATATGTGGTTAAATACATATATAAATATACACGTTTATATATATATATGAATTCATTTCATATGCCCTTCATTCCAGACATATCTCTTATTACAGCCACATCTTGTAAAATGTTTTCATTTAGTTCATTTCCATTTCTTGACTTCGTTCTGCATTCTCTTATATCAATGTATATATATATATATATTTGAAGGTATATATATATCAATATATATATATAAGTATTCGTATCTGTATATATAATCTGTAGCATATATCGTATTTCTATAGTTTGGTTTTCCTTACATTCAGCATTTAGATTCATTTTGGTTTTAACACAAACAACAACAACTACAGCAACAACGATAACAACAATTATTACACTAGACACATAGTAAATGTTTGCTATTTGCACTTGAAATTTCTATACTTATTCCTCGTCCGACATTAATTCTACATATTTGCACGTTTATCTGTTCCAAGTAGTGCCACCGCCTTCACGTGTGGCGCTATTTTATTGCAACTTCTCCTCTGTTGTTGTCTCATCCTCGACTTCTGAGACAGCATTTGCCGCTTCCGTATCCAATTGCACTCCTTCTACCTCATCCTCTGCTCTTGACTCTGCCTCTGTTTTTGATTCGGCCTCTGCTCTTGACTCTGCCTCTGTTTTTGATTCGGCCTCTGCTCTTGACTCTGCCTCTGATTCTGATTTTGCCTCATTTCCAGTTTCTGCCTCTTCTTCGGCTTCTGCCTCGTCATCCGCTTCCGGTTCCTCTTCGTCTTCCTCTTCTGCTTCTGTTCGCTCTTCTTCATCAGTTTCGATTTGCGACTCCTCTTCCGCCTCCGCCTCCGCTTCCGCTTGCACCCTCGCCCGCGCCACTGCCTGTGCTCGCGCATGCGCCTGTGCATGCGCCTGCGCGATCGCATAAGCTGCCGCCTGCGTCTGTGCTAAGGCTGCAGCAGCTGCTGCTGCGGCGGCAGCTGTTACCGCCACCTCGCCGGGTGAGGCACATTTGTATTCGACATAGACCATGCCCATTGCGCACATCTGACTCGCGTCGTGATCATAGTTAACAAAGCTATTCACAATGCTTGCGTTCGCGTAATTATAGTAGCCGCAGTTGACGCCATACATCGCAGTGGTTGTTGTTGTGGTTGTAGTCGTCGTTGTTGTTGTTGCCCCCGCTTGGGCCACAAACTGGGCGGGAACTAGGGCATAGGGTGTGGGAACCAAATAGCCATTGCTATCCACTGCGTAAACGGGCCGCAAAGCGCTGGCAGGCACAGGAAGCAGCTGGAGGGGTTGCGGTGGCGGTTGAGGTGGAAGCTGTGCTGGAGGCTGTTCCTCTAGTACTGGTGGTGGTTGTTGGTGTTGTTGTTGTTGAGGGAATTGGTGCTCATGGAAGGGTTCAGGTTGCTGCTGCTGCATTTGCATCGGTTGTTGCAGTTGCAGCATTTGGTCTAGCTGTTGTGGCAACTGTTCCAAGTCCTGCTGCAGCAGCAGCTGCTGTTGCAGCAATTGTTGTTGTGCCAGCATTTCCGGGCTTACCACTTGCCATCCGCTTTGCTGTAGCAGTTGCTGTTGTGGAACGAACAATTGTTGCTGGTGCGGCAATTGTTGCTGTGTGACAAACAATTGTTGCTCTGGAACAAACAATTCTTGCTGCTGTTGTTGCGGCAATTGTTCCAGTGGTATAAATAATTCTTCTTGTTGCGACAATTCTTCGTTTGGAACAAACAATTCTTGCTGCTGCAGCTGTTGTGGCAATTGTTGCTGCTGTTGTTGCGGCGATTGCTCCTGTGCAACACACAAGTCATCTTGCTGCTGTGGCAATTGTTGTTGTTGCCGTTGCGGCAATTGATCCTGCGGAACAAACAATTGTTGCAAACGCTCGTACAGCACATCTGGTGGAGTTTGATCTGGATGCAACTGTGACTGACGCTGTCGTTGCGGCAATTGCTGTTGTTGCCGCGACACATTTAGCGGGCGTCGCTGTTGCTGTGGAAATTGCTGCTGTTGCTGCGGAGGGTATTGCTGACGACGCGGCTGATACTGCTGTGGCAATTGCTCTTGTTGCTGCGGCAAGTATTGCTGTCGACGCTGCTGCTGCTGTTGCTGGGGCAATTGCCGTCGATGTGGTTGCTGTTGCCATTGTTGCGGCCATTGTTGTGTCCGTTGTTGTCGGAATCGTTGCTGTTGCTGCTGTTGCAGTCGGGAATATGTGTTGGCGGTGGCATTTCTGTATTCACTTGTATCATTTGTTCTTGCTGTTGTTGTTGCCACGGGTCCGGGTACTATGTTTGTTGCAAAAGTTGTTGTTCTTGCTGCTGCTGTTGCAACAGTAGGTGTTGCCACTGTTGCAGTTAGTGTAGTTGTAGTTGTTGTTGTTGTTGCTGCTGTTGCTGCTGTTACAGGTGAAGCTGTTGTTTGTGTTACCGTTACAGCTTCGTCTGCTGCTTTAATGTTCATCGTTGCACTTGTTGTACTTAGTGCTGCAGCTGCAGCAGTTGCTGCTGTTGTTGTAACTGCTGCCGACGCATTGCTACTGCTGTGTAATGTTAAATTTGTTGTTCTTGTTGTTGTATTCGTGTTTGTTGTTGTTGTTGCTGTTGCTGTTGCTGCTGTTGCAGATGCTGATGCTGCTGATGATGAGGTTGTTGTTGCTGTTGTTGTTGTTGTGGTGGTGGTGGTGGTTGAATTACTGTATTTGAAGTTACTGTTGTTGTTGATGCTGCCAGTGCTGTTGTTGTTGGGTTGTTGTTGGCCAGTGCCGCCGCCGTCGCCGCTGCCGTTGTGGCTGTGGCTGTTGCTGGTGTTGTTGCTGTTGCTGCTGCTGCTGCTGCCGACGACGTGGGAGCCGGTGCAGTTACAACTGCAACGCTTTTGCCGACGCACAGCTGGCGTTGCTGCTGCTGCTGCTGCTGGCGGAGCAACGGCAGACAACGCTCCTGCTGCTGCTGCTGTCGCTGCTGCAGCTGCAGCCGCTCTGCTTGTGGTCGGGGCATTGGCATTATAGTGATTGGCAATGGCAGCATGAACACTTCACCTGTGTGATGCAGCTAATATTGTGTAAAGAAATTAATTTTGATTTAAATAAATTTCTGTGCATGGTTATATGGATGCGGTTTTTGAGATCGTGTTGTTCTATTTGATCTACCTCTGTGTGCCATATTGTGGTGATAGCCGCCGACGCCGCCGCCGCCGCCGCCGACAACCCCGCCACCGCCATGCATCGGCTGTGGGAGACCGACACCGACACCGACGCCGACACCGACACCCATTCCGCCGCCACCTCCGTGCGGATGATGATGCAACTGTTGCATGTGGTGGTGTGGCGGCGGTGGCAAACTGTGATGTTGCTGATGATGATGATGCTGCTGCTGATGTTGATGATGGTGTTGTGGATGGTGCTGCTGATGGTGTGGCTGCTGCTGTTGATGGTGCATCTGCTGTGGATGATGCGGCACCTGCTGCTGCTGCATATGGCCGCCCATGTGATGTGGCAGCGGTGGCTGCGGCTGTCCCATATGTGGACCACCGCCAATTTGCGACATGAACTGTGCAGCCTTCGCCTTGCCGTGCTCCTCAGCCAGGCGCACCCAAATCGGCTGTGAGCCGCCCTCCGGCACGGTGTTGTTGAGTGCCTTAATTGCTTCCTGTGCTTCCTCGCGCTTATTATAACTGCATGGGTGGAAATAAACAGAGCATGAGTATACGAATTGGAAAGAATAAGGCGAAAAGATTGATTGATTGATGGACTGCTTCCTTGATTTTTGGTCAACTTTTGTTAGTTACTTATACGGAAAGTGCTCGACTATTTTATCTCACTTTGTAACTAGACATGAGAGGAGAATAAACTGATATTCATTTTCATTTTTGAAAGAAAGTGGCACCAGCTCTAATCAAATCTTTAGCTCATTTAGGTTATGGGATCAACCCATTTGGACTTAAGGATTGCTAGGTAAGACTATATCGGAATCGGAGTAGATATAGTTTATGTGGTAATCCTTCATTCAATCAGTTTGGGTTATGGAAAACCAAGAAAGGAAGAGCTACTGTTACAAAGTTTTGATTAATTGATTGACTGATTGATGATCAACTTGCTTAGGCCTTAAGGGCAAAACTTAACTAATTTTTTGCACAAATTCTAATCTTTATAATCTATATATACAAATATTTTACAGTACATAAGTCAACAAAAAAACTTTACATCAATCTTTAGGTTAACAGCGCCTTGGGCCACGTAGCACTATAACTTACACGAATAACTGTCTTAACTAACAGCTCTCATAGCTTGACTGGAGACTGAAATACAACTCATCTGAACATTTAGACAATTGTCAAATAGACAAATGACAAACGAAATGTGACATGATATTTCAAAATACAAAACAACATTCTTTTACAAATAACTCTATCATAAAATATAAATGAACACTTGAATCACATTACACTTATGTTACCTCTATATCTAGTCATGTGCATTACATTACAAACATGATATATTTGTATTATTTACATATGTGGAGCAGCTGCATATTATCTTATGGGGCTTACCGTACAAATGCTACGCCGCGTGGACGACCGGTTAGTTTATCCCGCAAGATGTTACGTTGGACGATCAGACCGTATGGAGAAAATATTCTATCCAGCTGATCATCGTTAATGTTGCGGGATAGATTGATCACGTACAGGTTGGTGTCCTTGATCGATTGCCCGCCAGGTCGTGCATATGAAACCTAACGGGAGAACACATTTCATTAGAATTATTTGCAACAAATTCAATTACATAAATAAACTAAACAACATTTCAATTCAAAAACTGACTGTTTTTTTCGTGGCAGTTGTACGCACCTTCAAACGCTTATTACGCACATAAAATCCATTAAGTTTTTGAATTGCCTCCTCAGAGTCGACCTCCGAGTTGTAGTCAACGAAGCCGTAGCCAAAGCTGTATCCCGTCTGTAAAAAAGAGATGGAAACCATGCATATTAGCTTCTTCTTTTTTTTTTTTTTTTTAAATAGAGCAAGAGAGAGGCTGGGGGAGGAAGTTGTATGCAATGAAGTGCATGCATGTGTTTGTGTGTGTATGTCTATATAACAATGTGTGAGAGGGACAAACATAGACAATGGCCCGGGCACTAGCCACCAGGTACACATAATTCGATGTACAGCTACTTTGCCACCCCCACCCACCGCTCACGACAGTAACCGCATCCTTGACCCCCTTGGCTCACCTTATAGTCACGCATAATTTTGCATGTATTGATGGAGCCGCAACTGCTGAACAATCTGTACAACTCACGATCTGTCATATCCTGTGGTAAATAGTTTATGATCAGATTCGTAGCGCTTGTGCGATCTTCAGCAGTGTTGGCGGCGGCAGCGGCTGATGCAGCACCAGCGGCCGCAGCTCCGCTGGTGTTGCTCTGTTTGTTCTGCTGCTGTTGTTGTTGGCGATGTTGCATCTGTGGCTGTTGACGATGCTGTGTTTGTTGCTTATGTTTGTTGTTTTGTTTCTCCGGTTGTTGTTGCTGCTGCTGTTGCTGCTGCTGTTGTTGTTGCTGCTGTTGCTGCTGCTGCTGCTGTTGCTGTTGGTCTTCGTCCTCGTCTTCATCGTCGTCTTCCTCTTCGTCGTCATCTTCATCGGAATCTTCTACATTCTGTGACTGTGACTGCTGCTGCATTTTCGAATTCTGATTGTTCTTAATATCTCTAGCTGTCGATTTGCTTTTCTCAGCAGCGTCTTCATCCTCTGTTTTGTCATCGTCGTCATCATCGTCATCGTCGTCATCGTCGTCGTCGTCATCGTCGTCATCGTCATCGTCGCCATCATTGCCACCTTTGCCACCTTTGCCATCATTCCCACCATTGCCACCATTGCCACCATTATCATTATTGTCATCACTATCACTGGTGTCATCATCATCGCTATCCGCCTCCATGTCCTCGCCATCATCCTGGCTATCCTGGCTATCACGCTCCTGCACTACTGTATCCTCAGAATCCTATTGGATAGGAAAATACAAATACATATATGTATACAAGGATGTGTAAAAATGCCATTTTTGATTTTGGAATTTTTTGTACTTACTTTTTCGTCAATATCCGATGATCCTTCATCTTCGTCGTCTTCTTCTTTAAATTTCGCCCTTTGCTTTATTTTGTCCGGCTTGGGCATGATTCCAAATCAATGTTGAACCCACCTTGAATATATACATAAAATATATAAACTTTTATATTTTCCTACACGTTTTGTATAGCTTCCTGGTTGCCTGAAATCTCTACAATGATTTCGTTTTGAAGCTCGTTCATGAAGTGTTCACAATGAAATGAAATGAAAAAATTCCTATGCACAAATGTAGACAGACACTGACAAACGACAATTGTAAAATGAAAATGTAAAAAACAAAGTGTGCCCTGAAAATTGTATCAAGCTGCAGCCGAGCTGCAGGAACGAAGTGTTTCGGCTAGATGCGTTGCAAGACTGATGTGCTTTGTTGTTCGGACGTCACTGTGACAGGACAGAGTCGAGTGCAGGCATTTTATGTACTACATTGAAGCCATTTTGCAAGGCTTCGTGTGTGCTCGTCGCTCATATCTCGAGCACAATTGCTCGATTGCTCGGCATCCGGGACTCACGAACACACATCCGGGGACCGGCCTGGGCCTAGGCCAAGGCTGGGCCTCGTGCCCCGTGCCAGTTTAGCGAACGACCAGACGGCGCGTCGCGGCGAGCAACCGAATGGAATGCAGCAGCAACGCCAACGGCAGCTAAAACTGAAGAGGTAATCAAATTCGGCTGCTGTTGCTGCTGCTGCTGCTGCCTTTCGGGCTTAGAAACAACGCCGATTGCACTTTTGCGCATGTATGCGTTACTCCTCTCCTCTTTCAAACGGGCGCCTTCTCGCACTCTCTTTTTCTTACACTTTGAATATGTGTTTGTTTGTGTGCATGTGTGTGTGGATATGTGTTGGTGCGTACCACTATATGTATGCCCCATGTACACTTGTGGCGTGTTAAAACACTAAATTAACAAATTTATGACACAACTACATTCAAATGGGGCGCAAATGTAAAACTATTGCGTGGAAGCGGCACCAAGAGCCGAAATGAAAAAAAAAAAAAAACTACACCAACATATAAATTGACGGCACACACACACACGCGCGCACAGCTAGTCTTCGCGGTGAAAAAAAAAATTTATATATGTACATATTTCCAAGCCGTGGCCAGCATTGTCAAAAACAAAACAAAAACCGCTCTACCTCTTTTGTCTAGAGCAGCATTTTCAATTTAAAATATTTGTACTTACTTGGGCTATACACTTGCACTTATTGAAAATTTTATTTTTTATTTGCACTTCTTCCCGTAAACGCTTTGAAAGCGGCGACTTCACAGCAATGTAGTGAGCATGTAAAAAAAGATGTACATCGATAGGTAAACTTTAGCGATAACTTCAAGACGATACTTTCCAAGGTATCGTTGCTTATTTTGGAACGCGATAATGCTCATATCGATACGTTTTTGGTGTTTTTTTTTATTGTGCCTGCTTGTATTGTATTCAAACGTAAATGAAAATGAATGAGGCGTAGAGCAAGGAAAATGTATACAATAACGAAATGACGTAGCGTTTGAGCAAATATTGTAAACAATTTTTGTGTAAAATACCAAAACATAACAGCCTAAATTTGCCTCATTTGTCAGTCGATGTTTTGGTATTATTTTTTGCGAAAAATACCAACAAACAAAAATACCAGCAAAGGAAATATGTCAGCAATTGGGAAATTTTAAATTGGATTTGAATATTGCTTCTCTAATCGGCATCAACGGTTATATTTAGCATAAATATACATATGGGATGGCATTAATATATTATATATCATTTGATACAGCCACACCACTACCAGTTATTGATTTTATTGATTTTTCCATTACCAGTTCAATCAGGGAGCTTAGAAACTTTCTATACACATATGTATATATATAAAGTAGGCGCTGCCGCAATGAGTTTGGCATTGAAATATTTTGCTGGTCCACTTAAAATTGCGGTTGTTGTTGTTATTGTTATTGTAGCTATTGTTAGTTATATGTTGCACCAATTATAGTTCACCCACGCGCCTATCATTTAAAAATCATCGATTACGATTGTGTAACGTCTTTACGCACACTGTAGAAAAAAGGAAAGAGAAAAAAATACACAATTGGAAAGTAAAAGTGCTGCCCACGCATGTGAATCTTGTCGTTAGGCTGGCAAAGTAATCGTTATCGATGTTTGAATTCTAACTGAATGAAATGTAGTTGCTGGCGCGGTTGTTGTTGGCTGTTGCATTTCCGGCTACAAACGGGCCAAATGCAAATGTCTTGAATGGCAAGAAAGAAAGCCATTTCACACGTCTGCCACGGTCATGGCCAGCCAGTAGACGCCAAATTGTCGCGTAGTTACACGAGAAATAAAGCGAAAATCTGCAGCAAACATTGCGATTAAGCAGATACGCAGATACGCAAACGTATAAATAATTTACTTTTTTGTTGTTATTGTTATTGTTTTTGTGACACACTTTGTAGTAACAAAGCGTGATTCAATTGCTCACTCACACACACGCAGAGTCGCAACCTCAGTCAAATCTTGACCATTGATGATAAATTCACAGCACTATAAAAACTATTGTCGCACTCGCTTGTCTAGCCATTGTTTACGCAGCATTCAGCAAGCAGCAGACAACCCAAAGGATACAGACAATATGAAGCCAAGCACTGTGAGTAGTTAGACGTTGCACGCGCGTGCCGAGGAGCGGATATAACTCTTTGTCATTCGACAGGGTATTTTGGGCATCGCCTTGACAGCTCTGCTAGCCTGCTCGCCCAGCCTGGCCGTTGTCCATGGCATACAGCCGCTGAGCGCTGGGCCTGCTCTGGCCAGCCCCGGGCACGGCAATGGCTATCGCTATAACGGACCCGCTCACAAATACCTGCCCGCGGCTAGCGAGCTAACCACTGAGGCCATCACCACCACCGGCCATTGGCAGCCCAATCCTGTGCAGCAGCCCGCCCAGCAGCTCCCCTTCGAGCACACCTACGACAGCAGCGGCAACAGCATCAGCAGCAGCATCAGCGGCAGCAGCAACAGCATTGCCGATTACCATGGACCCTACCGCATGGAATACTATGAGCGTGCTCCAATGGAACAGCGTCAACAGCAACATCAACAACATCAGCAACATCACGAACATCAGCCTCAGCAGCAGTTGAATATGAATAATTTTCAATTTGCCGCCGATAATTCAGGTGCTGCTGCTGCTGCAGCAGCTGGTCAGTTTGGCCAAGCTGTCGGTCTATCTGCTGGCGCGCAGCATGATCGCCGTCTGGAGTCTGGTCAGCGAGGTGCTCAGCTGATTGGCCAGGCGCTGCCCGAGCGCTACCAGCGGCAACCTTTCGCACAGACCTCGTCGAGCTATTTGCAAATGCAATCGCACTCGTACGAGCTGCCGCCCAGCTACAGCATGCACAGAGAGTGGTACGAGCAGGAGGCGAAGCCGCAGCCGCAACAGCAGCAATTGCTGCAAACTAGCTACTATGAGCAACAGCAGCAGCAACAATTGCTGGCACAACAGCAACAGCAGCAGCTGCAGCAACAGTTGCTGCCACAGTACCAACAGTTGCTGCCACAGGTGCATCAACACTTCGACTACTCACAGCAGTTGAGCTCTTTCCATGACCACGCCCACACACAAAACGCCTACGTGACGCAGCCAAGTCGCGAGTTTCAAGCGCCCTATTACTAAGTATACCCCTCCCATGCCACCAGGCCCACTTCCTGCTCCTCACTCCCTCACTCCCACCCCCCTCCCCACACCCATTTGAGCTCTACAACGTCTATGGATCAGAGCTGCTCCAACCCAACGCAATGAAAACATTTGCATTTGGCTTCAAATGCATTTTTCGTATTTCATCAAGCGTCTCTTTTTTTTTTTTTATTGAACTAAATCGTATTTTTTTTTTATATATATAAAGATATATAAGTATATTTAATATGAATATTTACAAGAGTATTAAAAAACATTTTATGTGAATAAAATAAAGACATTCTACTTAAAGAGCCTCAGCTGAGTTTTATTTAACAAATATCAAAAAAAAAAATTTTAAAGAATTCTCAAATGATTTAAGCAGTTGCACTTGTAAAGCTACAGTGAGTAACATTAATATTCCGCTTTTTTATTTTACAACTTCAAACTATAAAGTTTATAAAATGAAATATATAATATGTGTAAATGCTAAATTTTATATTGAAAAATAACTGTTCCGATGAGATAATATATTCAGTTATATATAAAATATATTTCATATATAATATATTTCAGTAGAATATATTTAACATAACTAACAAAGATTATACAAAAGTCGGAAAAAAAAATTGGCAAACAAAAAGACGAATATTGATGTTACTCACTGTATATGTATACATTGAGATATATACATATATACATACATACATATATTTTGTGTTTGTTTATTTTATTACATAAAAGAAAACTAAATAAATAAATCCAATTCAATAAAAATCTTTATAAAGTGCATGGAGTGTATTCTTGTCCATTGGCATGACAAATTCGATATAATTTGATATATACAAATACATAGTATATATGCATATATCCGACCATAGGTGACGTGGCAAATCTAGTCTATATTCCAGAAATAATCTACATAACTAAAAGGGTCAAATATTTCAATGAAATTTCGAGAGAAATCGTTGTCTGATGTGATGTGAAAGTCTCAAATTTCGCTTAGAATTCCCAACTGGTTTTGGTCCGTCGTCATTGAAGAGATTCGCCCACGACAGCATGAATAATGTGGAAAACTCTGGGCTCGCTCAGCTTGAGCTCTGGCTTGGAATCTGTGACCTTGAGCATGGCTTTAAGCAGTGCCATAAATAATCGCAGCTAATTTGATTACGCTCGTTGTTTACGGCAACATTTTCTCAGCGCCTCTTGGCCAATGAAACATTTTCATTGCGAGCACTCGAGTTTCCGCATCAGACTCCAAATTCTTGCCGCTAATTGCGGGAGTTGTGCAATTTGTGAACTTGGAATTTGGAGCTTGGCTTAAGTCGCATTAAAATCTATTTGAATAACCGAATTAAATTTAATTTTATTCTGGGCTTTATTTTATGTTCTTTTTTTTTTTTAGCTAAATAAGCTGAAAAACGCACGCGTTGAAACCGTTTTTTTTTTTTTTTTTTTATTTATTTCTGCTTTTTGGTTTATTTTTTATTTAATTTTTGTAAATTAATCTTTTTTTTCTCGCTTCCGTTATGCAAATTACTTCCAATTGTTGCACGTGCTTTGTAATGCGAAGACAGGGCGAACAGGGAGCGAGTGAGGGAGCGCGAGAGTGAGAGAGAGAGAGAGAAAGAGGCACAGAGCGTGTGTGAGAGAGGGAGAGCAAAAGTGAAGGTAAAACAAACAAAATCAAACATTTAACACCCACAGCCGCAAACGCAGCCAAACAGTAGCGGATCAAGCGAACTGCAGATTATTGGGCCCGATAGAGCAGCGGGGCAATGAATTAGTGAACAGAGCTCTGCCTTGATATGCCTCTAAAAAGTAGCCCAATCGCCAATTATAATACTAGATTATGATTAATAATACTAGATTAATACTAGAATTTGATTATAGTTCTCTATTTCAGATGCGCGCCCCAGTAAAGGCGCTTAGTGTACTTCCACTCCGCTCCTGGACCACGAATGCAAAACTTTCATTTGAGCAGCTGCAACTGGAGCAACTGCAGCAGCAACTGCAGCAGCAAAATGCCAGGAAACCAGACAGATCCAATCAAAACGTTTATAGATCGTTTGTGTTGAACCTAATGAAAATGTGGTTCAATGGGAGAAAGTCTGTCAGAGATTTGCTGAATATCTATATAGATATTATGCAAGACCAAAACATCAGGCGTCAAGTGCTTAATTTGAAACGATTTGCGCCAAACTCAATCAGTTGGCTGGGGAGAGAGACGAGGAGTACACGACTAACAGATACTCTCCATTAAAAAATCGATAGCTATCGATGTATGAGCGGGAGCTTAGATAACTCTACCATTCCACTTGTATAGCCCTATCCATTTAGCACATTAATCGATAACTATCGATTATTCAATTTGCATCACTCTTAGTTCAGCTAGTAGAACTTTTTTAGAGCTTGCTGAAAAGACAACTTGCATCATGCCTCTTACAATACGAATTACAGGGTATTTAAGTGCTTCGATGGGCGCACACGCCCACCGTCTCACCGCCCAATTTGAATTCCAATTCCATTTCCATGGATTGTTGAGCAAAAACCGCATTGTTAACTCGCTCATTATGATTATAATAATCATTACCATTATCATTGGCCTAACAAATTGTTTTTTTTTTTTTGGGTGTTGCGACAGGTTTTACACAAGCGTCGAAAATAGGCTTAGAGTCAGTTTGAATAGGCCTATTATGAAGAGACAAAGCAGACTAAGGGGAGAAAGAGAGGGAGGAAGAGACAGAGAGAGAGAGAAAGAGAGAGAGAGAGAGACAAAGAGAGAGAGAGGGACAGAGAGAGAAAGAGAGAGAGAGAGCGGAAGACATGGCAACAGCAGGACCCTCTCCAAATACCTGAACTCAGCCAGAAAGCTCTACCCTTTCTTTTTCCTTTTCCACATTTTCCGCACTCCCATATCTGTCCTTTCTTGATATATCATTCTCTATCCCATCTCTCCACTTTTTTCTTCTTTCCTTCCTATCTCGATTCTTTGCCTGTCTTTCATCACTTGATATATCATTCTCTATCCCATCTCTCCACTTTCTTCTTCTTTCCTTCCTAGCTCGATTCCTGTGTTTCATCACATGATATATCATTCTCTATCCCATCCTCTCCACTTTCTTCTTCTTTCCTTCCTAGCTCGATTCCTGTGTTTCATCACATGATATATCATTCTCTATTCCATCCTATCAATTTTCTTCTTATTTTCTTTCTTGATATATCATTCTCTATCCCATCTCTCCACTTTCTTCTTCTTTCCTTCCTAGCTCGATTCTTTGCCTGTCTTTCATCACATGATATATCATTCTCTATTCCATCCTATCAATTTTCTTCTTCTTTCCTTCCTAGCTCGATTCCTTGACTGTCTTTCATCACTTTTACCCGTTGCCGATGATGCAATGAGGAAGTGCATTGAACGCGCTGTCGTTGGGCTCAGCCTTGCCCTTAGCTCTCTCGAGTCAAGCCCATATCCATATCCATATCCGTAGCCGTAGCCGTATTCGTATCTATTTCCATTACCATTTCCATTTCCATTTCGCACTTCCCATCTCTCACCATCAGCGGAACCACCTGGATCGCATTACAGCCGCCTCGTAGGCTATTTAAGTGGGCTCGGTCACATGCCTGGCTGCAGACACGCCTCACAACTTGGACACAATGCGCGCCCTCAGCTGGGCATCTGGTTTGGCGCTTCTCCTGCTCTGGCTGGTCGAGGCGCAGTCGCCGCCCCCCTTCTACTATCACAGCTGGCTATATGCAACGCCCTGGCGGCCCTTGGTGCCGGTGCACAGACAAGTGCTGGATGCCCAACAGCTGAGCCTGGGCTACACGGGTCCGCAGACCTTTCCGCTTGAGGCTGGCCAGGCACAAGCGCAGACGACCGTTAGACGACCCGTTCTGCTGGGAGTTCAGCTCCGGCCGGCGCGGCAACAGTTTACGGTGCCCTTTAGACCCTCGCCCTTTGCGGGCTACAGCAACGATGTGGAGCAAGTGGAGCAGCGAGAGCAAGTGGAGCAGCGACAACAGCAGCTGGTGCAGCTGGAGCAGCTCAATCAGCAGTCGGAGCCACCTTTCTATGCTCCAGGCTATCCGCAAGCTGCCGCTGTCCTTGCCTCCCCGCTCATCGGCGTGGATCAGGCGGAGCAGAGGCCCCCGCACTATCTGTACATGGCACCGTCCCATCAATATAATCTAGTTAGAAGTTAAGTCGTTTGTTGTTGTTATCTCTGTTCGTTTTGCTTTCGATATAAACAAAGAAAAACTTTGATCAAACCACTCGCCCTTTGCTTTCGCTTGGTGAAATTAACTCTCGCTCGACCTTGGCAACGTCTCGCTGAGCATTGCGCAATCGATTTTAGGTCGCTGCGCTGCGCCGTGGCACGAGGTCGTCGATTTGAGCATTGAAGATTGCAGATTATACGGATTCGACAATGGCATGCAGACGCCCCAAGTGGCCCGACAATTGCCTCGTCTAACAGCCGTCAGGGCCCGCCAGAAGCGGAGCAAAGGTAATTGACGTAATTGCTTGGCTAGGCGAAGACACATCGATGCGTTAACTAAACGAAAGGGCGTACCAAATAGTGGGTGCTATAACTTGGCTAATTGTTGTTGTTGTTGTTGTTGTTGTTGTTGTTGTTGTTATACTTGCATACATCTATGTTTATCTTACCATATCAGCAATATGTAGCTAGTCTAATGCCAAGCTGTTTCACCTACTGAGGTTAGCAGCGAGAGATCTGAGAGAGGTCTTCCCTCTTAGCTTTATAGAGGTATGCAGGCCTAGAACTATTTGAAATCTAACTCTTACTGCAGATTAGATCTGGTCATTTAGACAGTTCTGGTGCCCGAACTCAAATGATTGCATACATTTCCTATAGAGATCAGACATGATTAAACTACCTAAGCTATCTGCCTCTCATAATATGATCTGATATGATCAGAGCTACTTAACTCAGAGCTCAATCCGCTATTGCTTTATCGAGTTATAGGCGAAATGCTCTCAGGCTAACCCATTTGCTAGCCTCTCTTCTCTCATACATATTCTGATTCTCATATCAAACCTGAAGATATTTATTATAGAGACGGTTAGAATTTATATATTCCAAACAAATTCTATTTAAATTTATGTACAGTTACAGTCAAGTCGGAACGTAGTATCTCAAAC